GCGGTCTAAGGGTTAAGGCTGTAGGTCACATTTTACCTTAACCACTTAACTGCACCAACTGAGTATTCTCGGTCGGCGGGAAACTGCGCCAACCGAGAAAACTTCTTTGATTTTTCATAACCAATTCTAAATGTGTACGAGGTTGGTTGTGTACGAAATGGACTCTTAGGACCTCCAGTGAGAGGCAGCCATCTTGGAAAAAAATCCCAGAATGCCCTTGGGCTGCTGGCTGAGTTAGTACTGAATGAGCAACCATGGGTGGTGCATGCGCCTCTGGCTCCCAAACACCTGTCCGATGCACGCGGTGTTGAAAGATAACGCTCTGTCGGTGAAATTTAAACCTTATTGTTTGAAGAACATAAGGGTCATAATATTAGTGAAGCTAGGTGCAATAAGGACCTAACACAAAGATCGGATGCAAGTGATACAGCACCTATGAGGACGATACAGCGAGCGTATCCAGTTGTAGCTCTGAGCATCACCCTTGCAATCCTATGCTATCTACAATTTATTTAGATGATACATAGATGAATCGTTTTCTGCGTTCAGTGATGATGCATCTGATACAAATAGCATAGATGAACAGTGTTAGCAGCTTCCATGGTGGTGTTTTCCATAGATATTTTCAAGAATACCTGAATCTCTTCCTAACTGACGGACACTCTTTGAGGTAAGCTGAATCTCTTCCTGTGTGGGACCATACAAAGCGATCTTTTCAAGACTACCTTACAAATTGATCTTTTCCTATAATCTTTTCAATACTACCTTATGCTTTACAAGCTTGGCTACATACAACCTACAAGTACTAAAGCCAAGGGTGTACGTGAGTGCGTTATTTGCAAGCACACAGAATGAAGAAACAGGAAGCGAAAATTTATCTGTACCTGGTGCACTGAGAGCGAAGTCGCGCTGTGTACCATGGGCTACTTCGTTGATTATTACTCACTTCCGAAGTACTGAGTGTGTAATACAGTGTGTTACTGTGTAAATAGTGTGTGAAACTGTACATATTGTAATTTTAGTGAATTTTTAACAGGTAATATTGCGACAATAAACATTTATTGTGGACACATTACTGACACATGTATCACAGTTCCATGGAACATTATGAACGTTCTACTGTATACATATTGTAAAGGACACAAATATGCATCATATACGATAAAAAAAACAAATAAAACCGCATTGGAAATACATAAAACAAATAATTGAAAATATATTTGTGGCAACACCCGGTGCTTGAATGGCCCGCGCGACCGTGTCTGGGCGATTCACACACGGGCGACCAGGCCCTGATGACGTCACAGCGCACCTTGTCCACGTCCCCACAGCCAAAGTAAGTGGAATTTGGTATTTATTTTTACATAGACATGTTCAGGGAAGGGAATTTATCATTTTACGAAGAAAAAAGAATTTTTGGGAACACTTTATTTCATGCGCACCGGGGGAATTTCACAATAAACTCGGCGCAGCACGGTGGTTAAAACACACTTGTGGTACCAACATTAAGAAATAATATTAAGAGCCTCATATCATGACAATTTTTTGTTTTGTGCACATTTAATTTGTATATTTCTGAGCAAAGGCCCTTCAGTTGCTCCCATAATCATTTTCTGTATGATCTATCTACCCCAGTGTGATTTTCCAACTGTATTTTCATAATCAAAATTATAAAAATACAGTTAGAAAGTTATTAGAAACAGCCCTCGTAGCAATAACCAAGTCATTTACAAAATACAGTTCCTTATAGAAACAAAAAGGGAATCACTCACACCCAGACATTAGGTAAAACCTAATAAGTCAAGAGCAGCACCAATGAAATGGAACAGCCCAAAAGGACTGAAGAGCAAAAGACAAAGTTCACAAATATCAAGCACCAGACCGTGGAGCACGAATAAACCAGGAAGAGACATAGACCCAACCGCGTACATCAACTGGATGGACTACCTCAGTATGCCGGCTAGGTCACATGAACCACAGAGCACCACACCAGCCAAAAATCAGTCCCGAGCCAAGGAAAGATACAGTTCAAGACAACTGGCCAACCTGATGGGCGAGGGTCACCACAAGTGAGGAGTCCTCTTAAGGGAGTGAACCCCGAACCCTCTAGGGAAGATAGCCCTCACAGCGCAAGGGCAGCACTTAAGGAGTGCTGGGTCCTGCTGTAGAGGTTCCTGGGACGGGGGAGGGGCTGACTTGGGGGTTCTTGGGCCCCTGTTACCACCATTCTTTGGTTCTTGTGCCCTCTGAGCGGGGTTTACTGTTGCAGAAGGTGGGGGGTTTTCTTTTTCTCGCTGCCTCGTAGGAGTTGGATTTGGTGTCAGCCCCTCCTCGGGTTCAGTTCAGTGTCCCTTCGGATCCATCTGTCCCGTGCTTCCAAAGGTTTCCAGCTTCTCATTTCCCTCCTCATGAGGTGCGGGAAGCAATTGCGGCTTACCTCCTGAGCAACTCGGATTATGCCTCCATAATGGATCCTCCTTCATTCAGGTTTGGATCTTCGTTTCCTCACTGGGTTCGTTATGAGGTTCCGGAGTCGTCCTGGCTAGCAGACTGCCCTGTTTTGTTGTTTGAGGCTTGGCATACGTTCTGTCGGTCTTACATGCTGGAGTGGCATGAGGCTGGGATAGTGGTCCATGTTTGCCTGGGGAGCGAATTTGAGCACCTCAATGCGTGCATGTTCGCCTTCGTTTGGTTGGCGCTGTGCTCGCTCTGCTCGTCTTTCAGGATCTCGTCAAGGGCGTCAGCCCTTTTGCAAGGCAAAAGGGCATTGATGAGGCGATGGGGGGGGGGGGGTTTGCGCTGTTTGCTCACGCCTGGTCTCACGATTTGTGGGATTTTCTGATCATTTCCAATGGCCTGCATTGATGTTGGGTGGCTCCTCCCCCTTCAAGGGGGTTCAGGGCTGGCGGGGCAGGTCTCTTCTCTTGCTCTCTGCCGAGTCATCTCGGGGTGGGTGCACTTGGGTGTGGTCGAAAAGATGAAGTCCCTCAAGTGGGTTTCCCGTCTGTTCCCGGTCCCGAAACGGGACTGTGCAGACCTGCAGTTCATTCTGGACTTGTCCTGCAGATGACTTGTCCTGCAGATGACTTGTCCTGCAGATGACTACTCTGTCCCAGGTTCTGGCTTCTTTTGGGGATAGGGGATAGTAAGTATGAGAAAACAAGAACAAAGATAACTGCCTTCTGCAGTTATCTTTGTTCTTGTGTTTTTGTTTTCTCATTCTTACTATCCCCTTTATTACACCTTACCTTCCCTACCTTCACCTTGCCTTCTCTTCCTCTAAGATTTTCTTCTCCTCGCTTCTCTTCTGCCAATTTATTGCCTTCTCCTTCAATCATCAATATCGACTTGAGAAAGGTCCAGGACGGACCGAAACGTCGTCGTTCCTTCACATTCTAGTGTGTGGTCTGGTCAATATACTTCAGCCACGTTATTGTGACTCATCGCCTTGTGAAGAATGGCTGCAAAGATTTAAGAACAGAAAAATTGCCGGAGAATCATTAACCCATAACCCTTAATGTGCTCATGGCATAAATATACGACCGGAGTAACATGTCCCACCATGCACATGGCATACATATACGACGTAGGGTGCCGGCCACGATTCAAATGGCTCACAGCTACACGTGGGTTCACATCAGCTTTTGGCTTTTGTAAACAGACGCCATGTTCAAAAGAATTGTGGGCAACATTCTCCGGTGTGAGAGCCATATTACTGTGTGAGCATGCAGTATGAGCCAAGGCTGGTGCACGCAACATGAGCTAACAGCACTGCTGTTCAGCTTGTGACCACAGCTTGGCCTAAAAATGTCAAAATAAATATGGAACTGCTATTATTTAGGGATGACAGTATTACAGAAGACCCCTGTGATAAAAAACCAGCGTTGAATGTAATGAAACGCCATTTTCTGGGTGAGTCCCAGAGGCTCCCCGGAGCTATCCCAGGCTGATATGCTAATGTCAGACTTTGGCATCAGTCATGTGTATGGAGTTCTTAGGCCTACCGGGGACCACGGCCAGAACCGGGCCCCTTCAGAGAGGCAAGGGGTGCAATGGCCTGTAGAAACCCCCATGTGGTTGGAAGCATTCCATGTCTGCCATCGTCCGGATCAGGCACCCAGAATCGTAAGCGCCCCAAAGCAAATCCCTAGTCTGGTTAAAATTACTAACAAAAGCCGAACTAGTGGATAAAACTCCCCAACAGAAAATGAGCAAACTAGTATGACGTCATGCATCGCCACGCCGCTGTCTGCGCAGCTCCCCCTTCCTCCTCCCGGGGAGGGGGGAGCCGGCATAAAGGGTCTGGGGTTCCGCCTTCCCCCTCCAGGGGAGGGGAGGGGTTTGCGCAGACGGTGGTGCGATGATGTGATGACGTCATGCTAGTTTGATAATTTTGTTTGGGGAGTTTTGTCCACTCTTTCGGCTTTCGGTAGCAATATTTTCACCAGAATAGGAGTTTGTTTTGGGGCGCCTACCTTTCTGGGTGCCTATCCCAGTCGATGGCAGACATAGAATGCTCCCAACCACAAGGGGGTTTCTATAGGCCATTTCTCCTCGTGCCTCTCTGAGGGGGCCAGCTTCTGGCTCGTGGTCCCCGGTAGGCAAGAATTAGCACTCTGATGCCAAAAAGTTATACATATCCATTCAGCCTGGATAGCTCAAGGAGCCTCCGGGACTCACCCTGAAAATGGCGTTTCATTACATTCAACGCTGGTTTTCAATACTAAGATTGACAGGCGACCAACTCATACAGATTACAAATTAAAATGTATAATTTTCATGTCTAGAAAATTCCACCCTGAAGCTTCCTGCCCATAATATGTATACCTGGAGCATACCTGGAGAGGGTCCGGGAATAGAACTCCCAGAGCCCGGCCTGAGGTCAGGCTCGTATGTATGGCACAAGTTGTCAATCAACCAGTGTTTAGAAAGAGATAATGGGTTTTCTGTGGGTATTTGTTATTAGTCATTAACACAAAGTGATTTTTAATTTATTACCATTAAATGTTCAAAAATTATTCTAAAATATAATGCAATGATTTTTCAGACTAACAAAAACCGACTAATGTTTTATACAATTAATGTGGACGAGTCACGACGGGAAGTATATGAACAACGAGACCCACCCAATCCAACATTGAAGCGTGAATCAGCAGAGCTCTATACATATGAATCAATACCTCCTCTTATATTTTCAAAGGTTTGTCTAATTATATTTAGTTTGACATAATTGAGTTTATTTTAAAAATTCATTGTATTTTACATGTTGCTCATAATTCTATTGACATCAAAGTACTGTTCTGTTTAGCTAAGTTATTTAGCACAATAATGTACAGTAGGTCATGCAAGAGAGAGAGAATGCTGATAAATGTTAATTTTATAATAATGTTTAACTTCATTAAAGGATGTTTATCAGCCTAAGAATTGGTGTAGGTGCAGAACCAGAATGCTTTGCTTTCTTCATTTCACTTACTTTCTCAAGACTAATACAAACATAAAATTATCAGATTCTTTTAACCACTGTGATGTCGCATTTATCGTGAAATTCTGGCTGTACGCCAAAAATCGAATTGTAACACGGGCTACCACCTTGTAACATGGGTGTGTACCCTTGTAACCCGGTTCTCGTTCTTTACTTTTTTAATCTTCTGTTACCTGCACCCGGTCCTTAATCTTTATTCGCTTCTCAATACCAAGGGACCCCCAGAGCTATACTTGAGCCGACCCCACGCCATGTGGTCTTAAGCCGTTGACCGACTTCTAGCAAAACTCTAGAATCGTCTTGCACTGCCACCACCAGACCATTACCACTGAGCAATGACCGTGGTCTGGATCGATCATGCTGATCAATAAACCTCGGGGCTTGATCCCCACTAGTAATATATATATTGAATCTTACGTCCCGTACCACGTGGTACGGGACAATGTAAATAAATTTCATAAAATGGAAATTAATAAAAAAGACAATTTACTAGCTAAATGGTTTATTCAAAACTAAACAAAATCTAAAAAATCAAAGCACTCCCTGGCTTAACACTTCCTACATGAACTGGCAATGAGTTGAACTAATTCCCTATACCAAACTCTCATAGCAACTCTATCTTGAGGCGACCAGCTAGATGTTAGTGCTAGGTCTTGGGGCCAATGACTGAGGCCACCTGCCCGGGCCGCTCCTGGAACCACACTGTCCTTCCCACATGCTCCTCTACCCAGAAGCCAGAGCAGAGTATTCTTCCGCCTAGTTTACTAAGTTACTAGCAAGGCTTAAGTTTAACAACTAACCTCTGTTGTACTGAACGACCCAGATTGGTTGAATTCTTTTAACTGAAGTTAATTACACAAGCATCTAGGGAAGAGCTATTTCCGTTTACAAAATGGCTATTTGACCTTTGAGAAAATACCAAAAATATGGAGCTTTGGTGACCCTTGTGACCTCAGGTCGGCCAAATTGTTCTGCGCCCAAGTCTATCCCCGCTAGTGACGTCACTGATGGTAACTTAACTCATTATCCTGACAATCAGGATACTCTTGATACTATAAACAGGAATATTATACAATTTGAATGAAGATTAATTTCTCTAAATTACTGAATAATGTGGAATAATTCATTATACGAAATTGTGAACAAAGGCGGCAGTTATTTTCACCACCAGTCCCCTTCCTGGGGATTCGACCATGTGCTTGGGGTCAGGTCCCTACCCATGGTTTCTAGAACATTCTGGATCCTTCCTACAACAACTAGTTTGTTACAAAGTGTTTGCAAACTTTTTTCTTTGTAAAATGTTAAATTCCCTTCCCTGAACATGGACATGTAAAAAAACATAACAAATTCCACTTACTTTGACTGTGGGGACGTAGACAAAGTGGTGCGTAACGTCATCACGGGCTGTTTGCCTGTGCGTGGAGTTCCCAGAGGCGGTCGCGCGGGCCATTCAAGCCTCATAAGTTACCACGAATATATTAGCATTTATTTGTTCTGTGTATTTTCAATGTTTTATAATTAGTTATTTATTGTATATGATGGACATTTGTGTCCTTTACAGTATGTATACAGTAGAATGTTCATATGTTCCATGGAACTGTGATACATGTGTCAGTAATATCTCCACAACAAATGTTCATTGGTGCAGTGTTACCTGTTCAGTATTCAATATATTTACAATATGTACACATTCATTAACTATTTATACAGTCACACTGTATTACACACTCAGTACTTTGGAAGTGAGTGGCAATCAAAGAAGCAAAGAAGCAGTTCATGGTACACAGTGCGAATTCACTCTCCATGCACGAGGTACAAACAGATTTTCGCTTCTTGTTTCTTCATTCTGTGTGCTTGCAAATAATGCACTCATGTACACCCTTGACTTTAGTACCTGTAGGTGGTAAGTAGCCAAGCTTGTGAAGTGTAAGGTAGTCTTGAAAAGATCACTTTGTAAGGTATTCTGGAAGAGATTCAGCTATTCTTGAAAAGATCGCTTTGTAAGGTAGGATTGAAAAACTTCAGATATTATTAGGGAAAGATCTAGGAAAAGCTCAATAACAAAAGTCTGTCCTGGTATCACTCATATCTTCACTTGTATATGGGAAAGTGAGTGCATGTATAAAAATCGGAAATGCCAAGGTTGGGCATGAGTTGCTCTCGGCTACTACTGGATACGCTCGCTGTATCGTCCTCATTGGTGTTGTATCACTTGTATCCGACCCTTGTGTTAGGTCCTTACTGTGTCTAGCTTCATCGATATCATGACCCTTATGTTCTTCAAACAATAAGGTCTGAATTTCACCGACAGAGCGATCTGTTGGTGAAATTCAATACTGCATCGAACAGGGTATTGAAATTCAATGCCGCATCCGATGCGGTATTGAAATTTCAATACCGCATTGGACAGGGGTTAGGGGCCAGAGGCATGTGCGCCACTCATGGTTGCTCACCGGGGAACTGATTCAGCCAGCAGCCCTAAGGCATTCTGGAAATTTTTTCCAACATGGCTGCCTCTTACTGGAGGTCCACTAGAGCCCATTTCCTACCCAACCAACTGGGCTTGCATTTTGAATAGTACAAAATCTTAAATTGGTGTTTTCTCGGCTGGCACAGTTTTAGGGGAACGAGTTTTCTCGGCCAGCGCAGCACAGTGGTAAAGACGCATTCTAGTTCTGGCAGAAACAATGCCTTTGTTAATCATGAAATTACTATATGGTATACAGCAAAGTAAGCAGAAGCAAAGATTTTGGTAAAATAAAAAATTATTGAAATATATGTGATTGGAATCAGTTTGTATATTTTCAAGAGTAGCAACACAGTTGACTAAATTGTATGTTTTCTTAATAACTGATTCTGTACCATTTTTATCAAAGACATGCAAATGTATGATGGGTAACAGTTGCTCTGGAGAGACTAGGTCTCTCCAGAGCTCCAGACCAGGTCTCTCTTTGTACTTATGCAAACATTATGACCAACCCATAATGTTGGCCAGCTCTTTTTTGTCTTACTCATGAGAATTTTGATGAACTCAATAAAAGGTTGAATAAACATTCCAGATTGTTTCATATTGACCACAGTTACCTGTGATTTCATGTGAGATATGTAAGTTTATAGTATGAAAACTATCATAGGTTGATAGTAATTTGAGAAGTGCTATCAGTTTGGTATGTGTGCATATACTCATACAGAAAAGTCTAAGGAACATTTAAAAAGAAACAAAGCTTGTGGTAATGGTATGTGATACTTTATCACCAGAATGTTATGTAAATACTAAAGTGCGAATCTCCTCCGTTTTAGCAAATTTTAGGATTGTGTTTAAGTACTGTACAATAAATAAATGTTACATAAAATACTTATTACATTATAAGTAAAGAAAAAACTGAGAAAATGAATGGTTTAAATACTGTGTGCCCAAATTACTAAAAGGGGAAAGATAAAATATAAAAATTTCTCAAGTTGGTAAAAGGATGAATAAAGAGTCAAGGGAAAGCTGGACGTGTAAGAATGTAGCAACCCGTTCTCGCAAATTCGTATAGTCAATATTGACTAATTAACTACGTGCATAGGTGATATACTAAACATAATAGATACCCTTAAAAAGCTTCATAGAAAACACCGACCTTACCTAACCTTGTTAGTATCTTAAGATAAGCATCTTATTGCTTCGTAATTACAACTATTACTTAACCTATACCTATAATAGGTTAAGTAACAATTGTAATTACGAAGCTATAAGATGCTTATCTTAAGATACTAACAAGGTTAGGTAAGGTCGGTGTTTTCTATGAAGCTTTTTAAGGGTATCTATTATGTTTAGTATGTCACCTATGCACTTATTTAATAAGTCAATATTGACTTTACGAATTTGCGAGAACGGGTTGAATGTAGAACTACTGCAGACACTTGATTATCCGGGATTCGAATATCCGGAAAACACCCTTATACGGCCAAAATCATGACCGGATAAAGTTATCTCAACATCCGGCCAAAATGTCCATAGGAACCAGAAATCAGGTGTTTGTCCAGATAAAAAATCTATCCAGATAAAAAATCTGGGCCAGTTAACTTGCTGCCGATGTTGCAATATCCGGACAGTCAACCGGACAAGGAGTGAATTGTCCGGATATGAAAGCCAGGCCGCGGGCCATACCGTATTAATCCCGTACGGTTGTGGCTCGAGGCGCATGGTGTAGGAGAGGGTGAGGTGGGTGGGTGGTGTCGGGGGAGAGAGGGGGAGCGTTGGGAGGGACCTCCTGGGTGATAAGGGGGATGTAGAGCGACCTATACAATACAGTACAGGAATTACCATTAATTTTAGAAAAATTCATAATAGCCAAAAACAAAAGAAATACTAGTAATTATGTAATAAAAAATACTGTACAAGTTTCCTAAAACCATTTTGCACAGGCTGAAGTTGCCTTAAAAAATATTGATTTTTTTTCCTCCTGGCGGTCTACGTAACGTGCCTCCTCCCTGCCCCAAGTGGACCAGTCCAGGCCTGGTGAAGCCATGTGCTCTCATCCCTCGTGTTATACCAGAGTTCCTCGCCATTAGTGAAATATTTTTTAAATAACTTTTTTATTTTCATAGTAACTTTGAACATTTTTGGCCAAGACTATGTCTGGTAGCAGTATCAATCGGTCTGGAGGTGTTAAGAGGAAGAAGGTTGTCCTAACACTTAAGGACAAGCTACGTGTTATACAACTTTGTGAAAA